ACCAGCTCATTAGTAAAATGGGGCTCACACCCACACTTGAGAAAATCGTTCTGAGACCAAATGAGATAACGAGCGTCCATAAAGGATGCATTTACTTTAATGACTGGATGATATATGGAATAATCACATTAACTGATTATATGTAAATGATCAGTCAACAAAGCACTTCAGACCATTTTCTCGTAAGTAAATTAAATGTTCAGAGATGATGTTTAATTCTACTAACTTACCTAACAAAATACCAATATTAACACATGGATTAAAAATTTTTATTAATAATACCTGAACTAAAGAACATTTGTAAAGATTTTCAGCATTATAAACACAAATATTATGAGGAGATTTTTCCAGTTTTTTTTTTTTTTTGAGGCACAGTCTTGCTCTGCTGCCCTGGCTACAGTACAGTGGCGTCATCACAGCTCACAGCAACCTCAAACTCCTGGGCTCAAGAGACTTTCCTGTCTCAGCCTCTCGAACAGCCGGAACTACAGGCATGCACCACTTTGCCAGCTAATTTTTTGTATTTTTAGTAGAAATGGGGTCTTGCTCTTGCTCAGGCTGGTCTCGAACTCCTGACCTCAAGCAGTCCTCCTGCCTTGGCCTCCCAGAGTGCTAGGATTACAGGCGTGAGCCACCTTGTCCAGCCTTTCTAAATCTTTTAACCTTGATGCAATTATCAGCATGTACTTAGGGAGCTGGGTATGGTTGGCTTTTGAATAATTTTAAAAAGCTTAAAGATTCATTACAAAATTTTGGGCTTATTATAATTGGACAGTAATATCCTAAAAATCATCTACATGAAATAGTTTTAAAGTTATTTAAAATCACTGATAGGCTGGTTGTGGTAGCTCAAGCCTATAATCCTAGCATTCAGGGAGGCTGAGCAGGAGGATCGCTTGAGGTCATGAGTTCGAGACCAGCCTGAGCAACAGTTGAGACCCCATCTCTACTAAAAATAGAAAAATTAGCCGGGCATGGTGGCGTATGCCTGTAGTCCCAGCTACTCAGGAGGCTGAGGCAGGAGGACTGCTTGAGCCCAGGAGTTTGAGGTTGCTGTGAGCTAGGATGATGCCACTGTGTTCTAGCCTGGGCAACAGAGTGAGACTCTGTCTCAAATAAAACAAAACAAAAATGTCTGATAAGTAAAATAAGCACACGTTCCACTTTAGCTGAAACACTCTCTCACACCCCCTCCCCCAGGATCCCTCCTAAGCCCTGGCCACCAAGTGCAGGAGGAGCTGAGCCCACAGCCCCAGGCCTCTGCTGTCCCCCCGACACAGACCCAGCTCTTCTCCCCGCACTGGCTCAAGTCCCGCCTTTCCGTGAGGCCCTCCAACACTAAGCGTCTTGCTCTTCTCTAAAGACTCTGCACATTGTCTGCATGTTTTAGATTTTATCATATCTGTTTTTCCCCCCAGGGTTCAATCCCAAATTCAACAAATATCTATTGAACACCAGCTGTGTACACTGAACAGAGGATAAATGATTCCATCCCAGGCTTGACCTCCTGGTCAAGTGGGAGAGACAAACATGAAATCTGCTAATAGAATAACGCAACATAGTAACTACTAGAACTGATTTATAAAATACCGTGGGATCCCAAGCAAGGGGGAACTATGACTTCAAAAGTACGTCCACCTACAGTTCCCAATTCAATGTTTAGAGTAGGAGCCAAAGTATCTGATTTTGTCTCATTCACAAATAACACTTGAAATCATAACATACTAGGCAAGAGAAATGGTGGAGAGCTCACAGCCTGCACTCAGACCTGAGCAGAACCTCGCTCTCAGTTCATGATACCGGGTGTCAGAGGGCCCCGGCCTAGATTAAATGACAAGAGTAAATTACGTGAACAACAAAAACCTGGAATACAGCAGGGGCATACCCGATGTTAACTTTCCTCCACTGCTCCCACATCATGGCAAGACTAGCTCTGTATCCACACAATAAAAATTATTAAAACCTAGAGGTTTTGTTTTCCTAAAAGAAAATTAAATTGCTCCCCTTGAAGAAAAGGCCATTTTTACCTCACATCTGACAACCTACCATTTCCCAAAGATTTGGTGCAAGCTCTCATTTTTAATCTCCTCTGCACTAATTCAACATTGATTTATTTATTTTTCCCGTTCAACTTGTCACCGACCTAATCAACACTGATTTAATGTAGTATCATAAACCCTGAAGCTAAAGAGGTTACTATATAAGATAAAATCGTTAACACTGAGCATCACACATGAACATAAGAAAGAACACGTGTCACTGGCCTCCAAGTGCCACCCAACTTGTTGTTACCATGTAATTCTCCTTTACTAACAGCTCTGTCTCCTTGAGGCACACTGATATTTTTATAAAGATATCTGGACTGAGGCCGGGCGCGGTGGCTCACACCTGTAATCCTAGCACTCTGGGAGGCCAAGGCGGGCGGATTGTTTGAGCTCAGGAGTTC